TTTAAAAGAATAAAAATAAAATAAAAATTAAAAGGAACCAATTTTGAATATCAACAAAAGACAAACATGGGAAGCTAGGAGACAATACCTAAGCATAGTGCAACAGAAAATCTCATATTCTCATATATTTCTGCCACCTCATTTTTCTTCACTAGATACTGTTGAGTAAGGTCACACTACTAGCTTCAGTTTACAGATTTACAAACTGAGGCTCAATGACTGAATGTGTCTTCCAAGTAGCTATTTTGATCATAACAAAATATTTTCTATAAAGCTAATAGGAAGAGAAATTGAGAATCCTCTGCTGTCTGGCACAACACCTGCCACTCCTCATTAAGAGCCACTACAGGATATAGGAGAAGTCAGGACAGCAGAAGCCATTCCTTGACATCTAGGTTCGTACTTCCTTTGTAGACTCTTGGTAACATTCCCATGTGTCTTCCACATCCAAGCACTCCATCCCATGCAGCAGGGAGAAAGGAAGAGGCAATTCATGCCATTTCAAAGGCTAATGTTGTAGAGGACCTTTCTGTCTTTCTTCCCAGCCAGAGAGTTGTACAGAATGCATTCAAACATGGATAAATTACAGTGCCACCTAATAACAATTAGTAATGAAATTAGCTCCCTCTAAGCCAAAATCTTTTTAAACAAAATTTTTTGGATAAAATCTACGGTGGAACTCATGTGAATTCATCCTACTCCAAAACACCTAATTGGCAAATATGATGTCATAACATAGGGTATTATGATCTTTTACCTGGCTTACTCACCTCTTGCCATGGCACAACCAGTTGGAGATTTATATCAACAGGGACAATACTTTGAGAATAAAACAAAGCCAGCACCATGGTCTAAAAATGCAAAGGTTTTGTTCTATGAAGAGCAATAAAGTCTGGCATGTATTTATGTAATTGATTCAATAGAGTGTAACATATTCAAACATTAAGAGCTTTGAAGCCTGAGCCTGCTCAGAGACCAGCAGCTTGGGTGCACAGGTCCTAGTCAAAGGCCCATCTGGAAAGCAGCTGCATGGGACAGCAGGCCACAGTCAGAGGCCTGCCCAGATACCACTGGTAAGTGTGTACAGTCCCCAGCCAGAAGCCCATTCAGACACCAGTGACTTGGGTCTACAGCCCCAAGCAAAAGGCCCTCCCAGAAAACACTACCCAGGTAGGCAGACCTAAGCCAGAGGCATGCCCAGATACCATTGGTAAGTGTCCACACACCCCAGCCAGAATCCCACCCAGACAATAGTGCAGCACAGAGAACCAGAAGGCCACCATTCTGAATCAAGGAATTGGCACAGTGATGAGCAGCAGAGAGAAGGCCTCTCTGAAGCTTGCTGAGAAATGAAGCCCACTGCATGAGCAGAGTCATCTCAGTGAAGACACAGCAGGCTGCATCTGTTCAAATGAGAAGACACATAAACAAGACTCAAAACCATACTTCTAGGCTTCTGAGCTACTTCCCTGCTTTGCTGCCTTCCTGCTTTCTGCCTGCCATGAACTATTTCTCCTCTGTGATGCCCCTCTGCCATGCCACCCTCCCTTGGAGCCAGCAACTATGAAATGAAACTTCTACCAACTAGACCAAAAGACACCTGCTATGTGGCACAATTGTGAGCAGATCTCATGAGTCAAAGCCCAGTAGTTTTCAGAATGAAAATTGCAGGCACGCAGATTCTGGGGAGCAGCTATGTGGCCCAGACTGGTGTGGCTGCAGGCGGATCCCAGCTGGGGTCCCACCCCAAACACCAGAGGCTCCAG